CTGGAGGAATCCTAGGGTTCCACAGAACCCTGGTTGGGAAAATATGCTCTAGTGAATAGCATTGTATCACTTGTAAAAGGAAACATGTACTATGGAAAATGTGGAGGTCCCCATAGCTGACCTCCTTATAAAAATGCTAGTTGCCTTGCAGTCTCTGGCTTTGTACCCAAATATCACTTAACTTTAATGGGGACCTTCTGAAGCGTTTAAACTATCAAATTAGGCCCTATTCCACTGTTTTCATAAGCTCGCCTATCTCTTTAGAGCCAGTCATCCACCTTTAGATGATTATTTCTCTGAAAGTGGGTGGACTTTCACATAGAGCCATGAGGTTTTGTACAGCTTATGAAGCTTTTGAAATGAAGCATATACATTAGATTACATTCCGGCTTTCCATAAAATTGTCCTTTACAGCTCCTCCCTATGAACTCCACAGGGTTAAATACCTATCTGCAGTATTATCTCTTATACTGCCGGAGGGAAGGAATCATAACAGGCAGTGGTAACCAGGTAGTCCAAGGCTGCATGTAATATTGACAAGGGAGTTCTGGGTGTGTAAGTCATGTAATATCTTATGACAAGTGCACTTGGTTATCAGCACAATTCTTGTAAAATGGTAGAAATTCCATGTAGCCTTTGCTGGATTACATGCCTATAGACCAGATATGGCTCCACAAAGGCTGCAGGAGATCAGCAGCACTAAGGTGGAACAAGGCATGATAAAATAGGTGACATTAAGTCTTTTATATAAAGTGGTAGCAACTGTTTATGATATGCAGAGTTTTGTCAAAGTAATTGTCACTCAGTTCAGGTTTACATCTATTTTAATGCCATAAAGCAAAGCATGCTTTCTTCAGCTTCTGTAACAAAGGAAAATAGCTTTATTTTAAACAAGAAATTACAAAAAATGAAGACTTGCGGTGGGGCAACCCCAGCACTACAAGGATTAAGTGCTCATTTTGTCTTGGGGTCTCCAATTAAGCAGATATACTCACTTGATCCCCAGTCCCGGAGTTCTTCTTTAAGACTGAAATCCAGACAGGTATGCATGCATTAAAAAAAATAATTAAATACATTCTTATATACAGCTGGTTTTCTTTATATTAGCTTTTAGTAATCATCTGCACTGCGACACTCACATTAAGCCCTAGTTCACATCTGTGCGCTATGGCAATCTGTGTGTTTCAAGCACTTTGCCACAGCAGAGGACCACACTGCCGGTCCTATTTATTGGTAATGGCGCCTCACTATACCCTGCTGCCCCATGCGCTTTTCTTTTGTGAAATTGTACCAAAAAGCTTATTAAAAAAGTACCATGAGGGGAATTTATCAAAACTGGAGCAGACAAAATCTGGAGCAGCTGTGTATTTCAACCAATCAGCCTCTCTCTTTCATTTTCAAACCTTAACACAGTGCACAAAAATACACATACACGTTGTCGCACCAGCACATACTGCATGTGAACAGGCACTTAAGGAAGGTAGGGTAAGGAAGTAGCAGTGTCCCCCAAGTGAGATGTTGTTGAGCGATGCAATGTTTAGAGCTGGCCATACACCTTACAATTATCTGCAGATTTTCTATGGTCAGATGGAAAAAGTGCAACAGATTCCTCCATCTACACTTAACTGTGTGGATGGAGTAATCTCCCACTGGGCCAAACTTCATTATCTTGCTAGTCGGCCCCGCTGGCTCTCAAAATACCTGAACAATCTGATTGGATGCAGGCATTACTAAAATATTTTGAGAGCCAGCAGGGACGACTAGCAAGATACTGAAGTTTGGCCCAGTGGGAGATTCCTCCATCCACACAACTTAGCGTAGATGGAGGAATCTCTTTTTTCCATCTGACCATAGAAAACCTGCAGATAATTGTAAGGTGTATGGGCACCTATAAAGGGATGAGAGCATAGAGATGGCTTTGTGTGCTTCTACTCCCTCATTGTTCAATCAGCAGGCTGGTGAAGTGCCACCACTGTATTCCTTATTTGTAATATAGAGAGTGGTGTCACCCTTGTAGCCGGAAATATATGAATTACAAACATGGCAGAGCAGAATCACAAATGTTATGGCAGGTATAACAGTTCAAACATGTCAACATGTATATGTAGGTGTTTGGCTGGAGCAAAGTGAAAATGTACCGTCTCATTTACTGTATTTGGGCATATTCATTATGGTTAGTTCTACTGTAACTCAAAATGTGTCTGTAACCATAATCTTTTATTAGAAAAGGAACAAAAGATTGGTTCTGATGAAGGGGGCGTGCCCCAGAAACGCGTAAACCATTTATCAATACAGGGATCAAGGTTACTGGTGTTTTACATCGCTCCAGATTCGCCCAGCCAGGGGTTCCATCCTCTCACCTTATTCTACTGAACTGTTGTAAGTACAGCCTAAAGGTGCCGATACACTTTACAACCCTCGCAAGACTTTTGTCTTGCGAGGGTTGTAAAGTACTTTAAAAAAAACGTACGATCTGCCCATCTTGGACAGGCAGATCATACTTGCGATCATCGCAAGCCCGCCCCCGAGGGGCGGGCTTACAATGACTGCAAACGGGCTGTGTGCACACCGGCCCGTTCGGCAGTTGTCGAACCAGCAGGCCACTAACTCGCCGGGAATCGTACGGGTTTTCTAGCCTGCTGGTTCGACGGAAGACGTGCGACCGTACAGTAGAGACGGCCGCACGCCTTCCATACACTGCACGATTCTCGTACGATCGTGGGATTTCCCGCGATTCTCGTACGAGAATCGTGCAGTGTATGGGCACCTTTAGAGCTGCGTGTTTTTACTATTAAATAAAATTTTTACACTATGGAGGCGCTCTCTTTTGTTCCTTTTCTCATAGACTGGTGGTCCATCTAATCTGTGGGAGCTGCCTCCATCGTGTTTGCTGTATTTTTTTTACTGCTGGGCTCTTTTTGGATTTGAAGGCGCCGGTATTGTTTTGCAATAATCTTTTATTACACTAAATACTAAATGGTCTTTCATGCCTAATATGGACGCTTAATGCGTATATAAACCAAAAAGGTAATACTGTATATTGCAGCTTACCAATGCTTAGATATGGTGGCTGCATTAGTTTTCTTTCTCAGGCTTTTTCTCCTTTATTTTCAGCTGGTGGTCCAGCCGGTAACACATTTCCACTGCAATTTATAAAGATCGTCTGCAACACTCTTTAGAATTCAGTGTTTGTACCAGATACATGTACCAGTAGATGAATTTGGTGCAACCACTTCCATTTGCGGTACAGGGGAGCAATGAGGCCGGAGTGTTCAAACAGTTCTTTTTGACTCTGTCACAGCCATAGCAACAGATTCTGAAAGTAGCAGTATTAAGAACTACTTTAATCTAAAGCTACTGAAACTGGTGACAGGGCTTTTTTGAATTTGGCGCAGGACCCTTTAAAAGTCCACACTGCCAGTAAAGTCCCGTTAAGGCTTTATTGAGTTCCCCCTTGCTGTCATAAGGTGCCCACACACCTTGCGATAATCACGGGAAATCCCGCGATCGTACGATTATCTCAAGGTGTGTGGAAGGCGTGCGACCGTTTCTACTGTACGGTCGCACGACTTTAGTCTTTCGAGCATGTTCGAAAACCAGCCGAGAATCGTACGATTTTCAGCTGGTTTGCAGCATGATCGTAAGATAAATGCCGCACGGGCCGGTGTGCACAAGCGCACACTGCCCGTTCAGCATTGCGGTCATCGGAAGCCCGCCCCTCAGCGGGGCGGGCTTGCGATTATCGCAAGTACAATCTGCATGTCCAAGATGGGCAGATCGTACGTTTTTGAAATTAAGGTTGTAAGGTATGTGGCCAGCTTAAGGGTGGCTCCAGCTCTATGGAAGAGCAAAGGGGCACCCATGGACAGCAGCATTGTCACCATGTGGAGAGGGTAATGTTAGTTGCACTAGAAGATTTAGATGGAACAAATGAAATCAGAACTCCAGCTAAAGGTCCCCACACACCTTATGATAATCGTACGATAATCGCTGGAAATCCCGCGATCGTACGATTATCGTAAGGTGTGTGGAAGCCGTGCAACCTCTACTACTGTAAGGTCGCACGACTTTAAACTTACGAACATGTTTGAAAACCTGCCGAGCATCGTACGATGTTCGGCAGGTGTGTAGCATGTTCGTAAGATAAAAGCCGGACGGGCCGGTGTGCGCAAGCGCACACTGCCCGTTCGGCATTGCGGTCATCGGAAGCCCGCCCCTCGGGGCGTGGCTTGCGATCATAGGCAGATCGTACGTTTTTTAAAATACCTTACAACCATCGCAAGACAAAAGTCTTGCGATGGTTGTAAGGTGTATGCCCAGCCTAACACTTTTTAAGCAGTTAAAGCAACAGAATGTTTTTCTGTTTATTATAAAGGTTTTCCATAGATGAATAAAAGTTGACCATTGTGAATATCCCTGTCAGTGTTAAATGGTTTGTCTCAAACCTCTATCTGCCACTTTTTGCTGGACAACTTGGTCTGCTAATGGAAGTTAAAAAATATCAGACTTACGGGGTTATTCACAACAGGGTGAAGAGCTTGAAGGCAGGAGAAGTGAACAATCTAGGATAACTGCTATGGAAACATTCTCCAATTCTTCTCACTTTCCAGTTCAGCTATTTTGTCCTAGATTGTTCACTTCTCCTGCCTTCTCCAAACCCGTCATCCTTTTGTGAATAGACCTGTCAATGTCCGGATCAGCAGGTGAAAATAAAGGAAAAAAAGAAAACAAATTCAGCCGCTACATCTAAGAATTGGTAAGCTGCAATATATTTATTTTTTTATTTTGGGTTTAGATACACTTTAAATGTTCAATCAAGAATACATAAGATGCTCCTAACATAAATGTGTACATTTGTTTGCTTTGCAGTGCTGGGAGCTTTCAGGCAGGGGGTGTTCCAGACTAACCTTCTGGTAAGGAAATAGGTGTGGTAATGGAAGGGATGTGCTAGGCTCTAAGTGCTGCCAGTCATTATCTCCAGCTGCCAGACACCATGGACAGCTCCATGTGAGCAGACGCAAGGATTCAGCTCCTGAAGTTTGGTGTTAACGGTCCTCTGGGAGTCTTGGGAGAGCCCTAGGGAGAGCACAATTAAATCCCACCAGCTACACCACAGCTCTCAGAATAACCCTTCATCCTGGTGGAAAGGTGAGTGAAGGTTTTGCTGTAATTTTCAAGTTCCCCAGTGACGAGTACAAAATACAGCAGATCCGTCGTTTATTTACGAATTATTTCCTCTTTCTGGAATCTTGTTTTTTCCCTTTAGCCCATGGTTAGCAATGCAAGGGAAACTCTGTATTTCTGGATATAGAGATCTATGATTTAGGGTGTGGGGCTCTCATAACCTCCATGTACCTGGAGATTATTGTTTCTTCATTTTAAACCTAATATCCTGATTGCTCTGCTATCTGTTAGACATGAATGACGTGTTCTTGTGGGAATAACTTCCTGCATGCATTTGTTACAATAACTTCTGATGACAAATCCCATATTGATTTATACAGGAACACTTGTGCTTGGACTAAGTTAGTCATTTATTAGAAATATCAATGCTATGACCACATGCTGTGAAAGTCTTGGGGCGGTAGAAAAACTAAAATTTAAAGGATGCTATTCTTGACAGAAATATCTCAACTGCCACTGAAATTTCCTTCTGAAAATGCTTTCTGACTGTCTAGAAACAAGAATGGGGATACGTCATTCTGACTTTTTTCTTTCACTTGCCCCATGCTTTCTCCAGGTCGGTGACGCACATATATTGCTGCCAGGCGCAGCCAGATAACTGTCGTTATCAGAAGTTTGTATGCGTCTGATAATGTATACAAATACAGAAATGAAAATGGCAGTTTGAATAATGGAGGGAGGGGGGGTGCTGCCTAGACATGTGTATTGCTGGACATACTTAGCCTGCATTCTCTAAGGAAACCTTTCTCAAGCGTTTCTTGGCACTCTGGGGTGCCTTCTGGCTTTCTCAGGGGAGCCTTAATGTTATGTGATGGTAGGACTCTGATGTGAAGGGGGTCTCTTGATGTGAAAGGGGGGACTCTTGATGTGAAAGGGGGGACTCTGATATAAAAAGGGGTGGCTCCTGATGTGAAAGGGGGGACTCTTGATGTGAAAGGGGGACTCTGATATAAAAAGGGGTGGCTCCTGATGTGAAGGGGGGACTCTGATTTGAAAGGGGCTCCTAATTTGAAGGGGGGTGTTCAGTGTAAAGTGGAACCCCCCTTTCTTATGTTTTTAGTGTGGGGCCACCCGTAAAATCCCTTTACAAAGTGCAGAGGTCAGTTGTAATGCAGAGTACAGAGGTCAGTTGTAACGCAGAGGTCAGCAGTGTAACGCACAGTGCAGTATTAACACAGAGTACAGAGGTCAGCAGTGTAACGCACAGTGCAGTAATAACACAGTGTACAGAGGTCAGTGGTGTAACGCACAGTGCAGTAATAACACAGTGTACAAAGGTCAGCGGTGTAACGCAAAGTGCAGTAAATACGCAGAGTACAGAAGTCACCGGTGTAACGAACAGTGCAGTAATAACGCAGAGTACAGAAGTCTGCGGTGTAACGCACAGTGCAATAATAACACAGATTCAAGTGTTCTGCCCTCTTCTTCCCCTGGTGGTGGTGGGGGACAGCAATGTTGCCTGCATGTTCTCATGTAATGCCTCCTTGTCCCCTGACTTCAAGACCCGTTCTTCTACAGCCGGCCAATGGTAAGTCTGCACTCTCTCAGCTTATAGCAGCTGAAGTGGGCGGAGGCAGCTGCAGGTGGCTGGAGAGGAGCCTGATCAGTGCAGAGACAGCCGAACCGATTTTTCTCCTCCGGCCGCTGCAGCTACAGAGGGGTCGAGAGGGGAGAGCTGTCAGAAGTGATTGCTGCTGCGGAAGGTGCACTGCCGGGAGGTCCACCCCTGGGTTTAGATACTCTATAAAAGATATATGATATAAACATTACTATTGTTTGTAATAGTGGTATATACAGAATATTTTAATGCCATTGTCACACACCAGTTAGATCTTCCTTAGATTTGATGTGTTAGATCTGCAGAATTTAACAATGACTATGTAGTGTGAAAGGTGACTGGATTGGACATAAATTGAATGGTGTCCAGACCAGAACAGTTTGTTCCCGGACCAATAAAACATCCCAATGTATTCCTATGGTATTTCTGGGTTCTGTTCACACCACACAGTCCGTTCCAGTCCAGACCCAAAAAGTACTGCTCGTCTCATTTTTTCTGGTCTGGAACGCATCAAAAACGCATACTAACACATGAAAGCACACTGGACCGCACCAAAAAAGCCCATTTTGAGCTAAACAAAAAAAAAAACCCTGCTCAAAATCGCGGCAAAACACAATGCAATGTGTTTCAGATCTGGTCTGGAAAATGGTGTGAACCTGGCCTTTTACATATAGGACTGCATTTAAGTAGCAGATCTGGGCAAATATTTTAAAGGCTTTCAAACTAAATTAGTTGACTCAATGATGGCGAGATCTAATGCCCTGACAAATGATTTTGAATGAACGTTCAGACAAAAGTCTAACTGTGTATGGCCAGCTTTAGTTTTAGTATAAATATAATGCTGAAAAGGATTTCCCCAGAATGCCTTTCTGTTATGGTCTGCCATCTTTTCTTCAAGCGAAACCCGAACAAATGTTTTGGGGAGAATGAGTGGTGGCTTATTCATATGTAAATAGTGTCACCCATTCATATGTAAATATCACAGTAGAGACTATTTTCAGGGCTGGGCCAGTAGCCCCTATCTTAATTTGGTTGCCCCCTGTTTGCCTAACATCTTGTGTCTGGGTTTCTGCTGCCATGAAACCTGGACACCGCATTCAAAACCCAGACTGTTCGGGTGAATCCTGGACAGGTTGCAACCCTACTTCCTGTGATTGCATTAAGGTGCTGTAAAATTTGAACACCCTGATTAATCAGGACACTATCGCCGGAGGTATCACCCCGTCATTGATCACAGTATCTGTACGACATGCATGCAATAAAATGTAAACAGAAACGTAACACAGAGAATACAGCTCTGACTTACCAACATTGGACATGTGTCTGAAGATTATGACGCACAATAAAACTGGTCTTCACTATGTAAAACCTGAGCTTATGTGAGTTCAGATTCATCTTTGTTACAGGTACTAATCTGATTAGCTGTTACAGTATACTATGCAGCTCCATTTTTCTTTCTTTAGTTTATGTGCTTTTTATATTATATATAAAATATTTATAAATATATATATATATATATATATTATTTTCATTATATTTTATTAACTACATATTCTGACCATGTTTTAGAGCAAAATATATTGATCTTTCCAGCAGGGGCGAAACTAGAAATCACAGGGCCCCATAGCAAAATATCATACACTGCGCTCCCCCCGTATCATACACTGCGCTCTCCCCGTATCATACACTCGATTCTCCCCGTATCATACACTCGATTCTCCCCGTATCATACACTCGATTCTCCCCGTATCATACACTCGATTCTCCCCGTATCATACACTCGATTCTCCCCGTATCATACACTCGATTCTCCCCGTATCATACACTCGATTCTCCCCGTATCATACACTCGATTCTCCCCGTATCATACACTCGATTCTCCCCGTATCATACACTCGATTCTCCCCGTATCATACACTCGATTCTCCCCGTATCATACACTCGATTCTCCCCGTATCATACACTCGATTCTCCCCGTATCATACACTCGATTCTCCCCGTATCATACACTCGATTCTCCCCGTATCATACACTCGATTCTCCCCGTATCATACACTCGATTCTCCCCGTATCATACACTCGATTCTCCCCGTATCATACACTCGATTCTCCCCGTATCATACACTCGATTCTCCCCGTATCATACACTCGATTCTCCCCGTATCATACACTCGATTCTCCCCGTATCATACACTCGATTCTCCCCGTATCATACACTCGATTCTCCCCGTATCATACACTCGATTCTCCCCGTATCATACACTCGATTCTCCCCGTATCATACACTCGATTCTCCCCGTATCATACACTCGATTCTCCCCGTATCATACACTCGATTCTCCCCGTATCATACACTCGATTCTCCCCGTATCATACACTCGATTCTCCCCGTATCATACACTCGATTCTCCCCGTATCATACACTCGATTCTCCCCGTATCATACACTCGATTCTCCCCGTATCATACACTCGATTCTCCCCGTATCATACACTCGATTCTCCCCGTATCATACACTCGATTCTCCCCGTATCATACACTCGATTCTCCCCGTATCATACACTCGATTCTCCCCGTATCATACACTCGATTCTCCCCTTATCATACACTCGATTCTCCCCTTATCATACAATCGATTCTCCCCGTATCATACAATGGACTCTCCCCGTATCATACATAGGCCTCTCCCTGTATCATATGCTGAACTCGCCCCATATTATACACTGGCCTCTCCCTATGTTATATGCTGGACCCTAGCCATATCATATGCTGGATTCTTCCCATATCAGTGCCCTACATGACACACTGCAGCAGCATTACTACAAGGTCTAACAGCCTATGATAACAGGTATTGCCTTACCTATCCCAGAATGGGATAGTTAGATAGAGTGTGATCTTTGGTCACTCATGTATTTTTATGTATTTATGGCTTGGAAATGGCAGATCATGACTCCATTTTATTTGAATGGAAAGATAAGATTAGCTTTATTACGCTGCACAGAGAGTCAAAGGTGAATAGAAAGTCTAAAAAGAATCTGCAGAGCATTACAGTTTTACAGGGCTGAACAAGGGCTGCAGTTAGACTTTGTGCTAATGTCGTTTACTTTCTTGCATTTCAGTTAGCAATCCATGGAAAGTTATAGTGTCTAAATAGCCTGAGATTTGGATTGTGAATTTAAGGTGGTTTACACTTTAAGCAGAAGAGATGAACCCCCTTCCAAGTTGCGTCTGATGCAGGTATTCCTTAGCCAGTACCTCCACTGGTGGCTGTGAAAGAACAGTTCCAAGCCTGCTGGAATGTTTGAAGTAATTCTTTTTCTGTATGATCCAGAAACCCCCTGCATTCTAGGATGGTAACTCAGCACAAAGACTACTGGAAAGTTCCTGGAACTCAGGCAGGCTTGTACTCTTCCTTTTGTTGCTAAAAGTGAAGTAAAGCTAAACCTTTTTTTTGGCTTTACTTCTCTTTTGGGTGAAAGAACATTTACTTATGTACTCCTGTGACCACATGTAAGCATATAGTGGGCTTATGCCAGCTATCAGCTGACAGCAAAGAGCTGCACCGCAGCTGGGAAGGATCCAGATGACATGTATTGGTATCCATCCAGCTGCCTGATTGACGAGTGGCTCGGACTATCTAGAGCCAGAGCCAACCATGCCCACCCCTTCCCCTGTCTGACCTTCCAGTGAGAGCTTGAGGAGGAATCCCTGCGGGGAGCAGTGACATCCAGTAATTTTTTCTCTGCTTATCCTAGGGTAACAATGCTGCTCCTACATAAATACAATATGGTGAGGGAGCCTTGTTACCCTAGCATAAGAAGTGTGTTACTGGCAGGCCACCCCATGTAAGGGCTGGTAAAGTGCAATGCATTACATTTTTGTTCTTGGGTTTAAATACACTTTAATTTACTTAGATTTGGAAGAATTCTTCAAGTTCCCATCAAAGTCTCACTTTCAATGACAAGAAAAAAAAACTATAACTAGGGAACAGTAGATACAGAGGGAATAAAATACCCAGTAGAAGAAATATTGGCTTAAACAGAAGAACTGAGTGGTATCTTGACTCCAAGTCAGTGTGTGAGTCATCATGCCAAAGTGATTGGAAAGACAAACAAGCTATCCAGTTGACAATGTCAGGCACTTGGCACGGATGAATCAGCTTGTTAAAATTTGCAGTGATTTTGTGAAAATGAGGGCATAAGGGGGAATGGGAGTGCATATAAAGTTGCATAGGATTGTCATCAAATTACTACAGGAAACTACGAATAGCTCCAACTCCTTTGGCACAAACTTCCAAAACATTGTAGATAGCTGCATCAGACAACTCAGCAGATCCACATTCAAAATAATAGTGGATAGTGCGGTCTGTTCCTATACTGCCTTGCTCTTGCAATTTTCAGATAGGTGGTAAAGTCTGCTTTCTGTATGAAAAAGGCCAAAAGAAAACATACTGAGAGAAACAAAGGTGCTGCCACTCCTGAAAATGCTAGTTGCCTGGCCGCCATGCTGAGTGTTGACATCAGCACCTTCTTAGTCAATAATCTGTAACATGCATGCAGGCAGTCAGTGAGGTCAGAACTGCTGATCTGCTTGCTTTTTCTGATTTAGTGAAACTGTAGTGAAGCCGATTGATAAGAATGAGAGCATTTTTAAAGGAGGTCTGCAGTGGAATCATTCATATTTCTCTCAGCACAGGCTTCCTTTAAACGTTTCATGAGGTAAATATGGTGGCTGCCATTGCTGACATTTCCTACTGAGAAGACTACACCCTGGCTGTCATTTGGCTTTAATACTTTTTAAGTCACCGAGCTTGAACTTTGATTTACTGCTTGCTCATTCCAGGTCAGTGAATTAAAACTATTTAAATCAGGCACAACCAGGCAACTAACATTTTCAGCAGGAGGCCAGCAATGGTAGCCCCCCTATTTTTCACATGACAGGTGAACATTGAATTAAAAGTGGGCTTCTGTATCAACCATTCACAGTACTACACAGAAAGGTAACACCTTACTACATCCCCACAGGATCCAGTTCTGCCGGATTCACATTTGTGTGGTGCGGTAATGCACATTAAATTGGAATTAAACGCACCAATCTAACTGTTTCCCAAAATAAAGATCAAGTTTAAAATGTTCAATACGTGTTATCAACTTCCTAAGGCAGAACTAATGGGCAAAAAACTAAAAATTGAGAGCAGGCTACATTGCTATATTCAAGGCAGAATCTGGTGATTACCACCTCAGTTGCCAGTGTACTTATTTCAGTTCCTAACTAGGCTTTAGCCACTTGCCGTCTGACTTTGTAAGTAAATGTCCATGCAGCTAACTGCTAATAGTAGGTGGGCGTTTAAAAACGTCCTTTCCTGTTACCGTGCCTGCATGCCCCCCTGCGCGAGAGGGAAAGTTTGCTACATACAAGCGTTTGGGTGGTTATAGATTTGCCGAATCGCTTGTATGGTTTGGGATGTGTGCACCCCCCTCCGCTGCCAGCTATCCCGGGCTGTGCTGCCCTCTCTGTGGCCCCGGGACCAGCATACCAGGTCTCTGTGGCAGGATCGAAGGGAGATCAGCACACTTCCCAGTGCCTGATCTCCCCCCAATCACTGAATGCGGAATTGATGTGTATTGCATCACTTCCGTTTTCAGCCTGTCAATTCTCTGTCTGCTGTAGCCAGAGAAGAAACTGATGAAGCGGATCTCTGCTTCATCAGCTTCTTTGGGGTCCATAGGTGACATTAGGGGTCTAATAGAGGTCACTGTATATGTGCTATCAGATAGGATGCTTGTTATCCCCCTATGTGATAGAAATAAAGTTAAGTGCAAAAAAATGAAAGTCGCATATAAAAAAAACACAAATTTTTTTTTAAAAGTCCGCCGCCCCCATTTATATGCACATACAAATGCAAACACGCATTGGGTGCGACTACGTGCGAAAACGATGATTACACTTGCGTTAAGGCTTCGTATTCATTTTGAATGTGCTGTCTAACTTTGGGAAAAACCTATGTGGCAGAAACCTTACCTGAACCTTTTTCCAGGAAATGCAACACACTTGCCTTAGTGTGTTGGGGCGCCATTTAAAGACACACATACTGAGGGGAATTTATCAAAGCTGGAGCAGACAGAAGCTGGAGCTGTGGTAACAAGTCGGCTCTCTATTTCATTTTCAAAACATATCTAAAAGTACTGAAGCTGATTGGTTATTATGGGTAACTGCTCCAGATTCTGTCTGCTCCATTTTCGATACATTCCCCCCATTGTGCATTACCTTTTGTGGTAAATCGCAGCGTCTGGGCCACCAGTGTCCTAGCAACCAATGTCCAAACTGACATTGTTCTTTTTTACCAGCAGTTTCCTTAGCCCCATTAAACAGGGTTTATTCTTTATGAATGTATTGCAGCCATCGCAACATAATGTAAACATTTTACTACTAAGAACTATGTGAATTTGTCACACATGTCTGCAATTGAAATGTGAATTGTGTCACACGCGTCCCTCCTTCTTGTGAGCAGCAGAAGGATATTGGTGCCTTAGTTGTTTACATACTCTTGAAGGGCTAAGTCCATCCAAGCTCATATAATCATGCTCATTGACGTGCCATTAAGACACCATATCTAGGTTTCTACAACTCTTTTCACCAAAAGCGTCCCTGAAGCTGAACTCTGATATTTGTACAACATAGTCTATATGGAAGGTCAAGTCTGCAGAAAGGTGGAGTCCCTTCACTTTGCTCCACACAGGAGATCATTATAAGAATAATTTAGATGAAGCAGAAGAAAACAAATGATTTGCTGTAATACAGCTGCACAAAAAAACTATTGTATTGATCACTGTGGCACCATCAACCAGCCGAGACTATGAAGTCGGCATAGATTAGTAAATGTTAAATGTTGGGGAGAAAACCATACCACAAGAAGGAAGCCCCCATCATATAAACATATACACAATCTGCATAAACCTGCGCCCTGGGAATTTGTTTATGTTGCTTTGTGACAATTCCAGTCCTAAAGCATTTCTAAGCCCAGAAACAAAAATGTAATATATTGTAGCTTACCATTTCTTAAAGTGATAATACAGTCAAAAGGTTTTTAAGCTATTTCAAATTCTGATGAAATCAAAATCACTTACAATGGATGCTGCTTCTTGATGCTTATAAGTTTTAGTTTCCTGCAGATCAGCTGGTTCCCTGAGCACTGACCCTGACATCATGTTTTATGGTGTTTGATCTGGATTAATTATTGAAAAAAGGTTTGAGAGTTTAATATTACTTTAAATGTGGTCCTAGATTGTCCTAGATTGTTCACTTCTCCTGCCTTCTCCAAACTCTTCACCCTTTTTGAATAACCCTGTGAGTCTTGGGCATTGGTGGGTCAGCTAGGCCTCTCTCTGAGACTATGAACTCTCAATCACTTCTATAAAAAAAAGATTGTTTTGATGTAGTTTTAATATGTAACGAAGCCCATGGCATTTCTGCAGCACTGATAAGATGGATGAAGTTTGGACTTATTCTGGCCAAGGTCATCTTGTGCGATACAATCCAGCCCTATTGGAAATCTGTGTCTATGATATAAACATTATCTTTAAAAGCTTAGAATATTGTTTGACCCAGTTAATTTTTTTTTGGATTTGTCTCAGTTCCTTTTCATGAATCAGTGAGTGATCCTGTAAACCTTTTAATGAGGTTGGAGAGAATGTTAAAGCAAACCCATACTAAAAGAAAGAGGAAGTCAACCACTACTAAACTCCTTCTGGAAATATGTCTGTGAAGGTTCTCATTCATCCAGGTCATGGTTTATCTGTAAAAAAATAAGTCAAGGCAACTGGACTTGCTGCAAGTTCAGTTGCCTTGACTTATTTTTTTTACAGATATCCTTCTGAAAATGCTCATCCAGTGGCTTCAGTACTTTCTGAGTCACTGTCCTGAAACAAACATGCAGATTAGATCAGAGTGAAGTCAGAACTCCTCATCAGCAAACTTGTTAAGCTGAAACCATAAATTCTGTGTGACAGCCAGGCAATTAGAATGTTCAGATGAAGATACGTGCAATGACAGCCTCCGTACGTCCCAAATTTAGGTTTCTGTTAATAAGATTTTGGAGATTGTACCTAGATCTAGAGATCGATAACAGATACAGATATTAAAGCTGAACTTGCGTCTTACCTTCAGTTTTGTACAGTTGTGCAGGCTCCTCTCCTGGACTAAAATTAATTGATTTGACTTGATTACTCTAAATTCACTGCACACTGAACTTTTCTCAGCATGCATTACAGGCTGCAGCAAGTCAAATAGACCCTACCCCATTTCATGGCTACACGACATCTAGCATAATCTGTCTCTTTCCTTTTCAACCAAACTGTCCCTGGTCTTCTCCTTATATTCATTTAGTTTCAATTGACTCAGTCATAGAGGCTCAGCATGACGTGGACTTTTAGTAGGCTGATAATCCTGCGAAAAACTCACTTCCTGTCCCGGAATGGCTATACACACTCCTCCACAGGATCTATGCAAGTAGCCACCCAAAGATAACAATGATTTAAGTGTTCAACTCACAGGAAGTGACAAGGGCACTGAATTTCTGGCAATATCAATGTGTTCTGTACTTGTTGAACATGTTCTAGAAAGTAAAAACTAATACACCCAACACATCTGATGATGCAATATAATGTATTGTTTTTTCCCCAGTCATCTTCCAGGACAGCCATCGAGATATAGGCTCCGCCTGCCTGCAACAGGAAACACATCAACCACATTAAATAAATAGACTCCTCCTTCCATCCCAAGTCAGTTTTTTTGTGTTTCCGCCGGCTACACAGGGACATCGTAATGTTTGTTGTTTTTAGGGCTCATGTTGTTTGCCTTAGGGCTGAGCCTACCCTGCTATGCGTTGGGACCTACTCCAGGATTACCTGCTGCAGCGCATGCAGGGCTTCCCTATCGGACCCCCATCCGATTCTTGGCCAAGGTTCCCTTCCATCACTCAGGGAAGGCAACCATCCTCCTGCACGTGAGTTGGCGCCAGATGAGACTAAGAACATTTTAGAAGTATAGAAAAACTACTGTTGCTTATTATTATTCAAATTTGTATTATTATTATTATTATTATTATTCAGGATTTATATAGCTACAACAATTTGCACAGCGCTTTACAATATAAGGAAGACATTACAGTTACAATATAAATCAAGACAAGATGGTAAGATGGGTGCCTGCCCCTGAAAGCTTACAATCTAAAATCCTGACAAAAATCCAATGTCCTTGTCATTCGTGTGCACTAAAACCTGAAATATCAAACAATTTTATCAGCTTTTCCCAGCTATCTTCTGTGAACTGCAAGTCACCTCCTCCATATGGAATGGAGGTGAGGAGTCCAAATTAGGAAATCAGCAGGTGACTTTGTTGCTCTTTTATAGATAGAAGTGGGTAAACGTTGTCACCCTAGGAAAGGAAGTGTGTTACTGGAAGGATCACCAGGAGAAAATAAAGGGGAAAAATACAGTTTGGACTGCAGTTGGGTTTTGATAAGAAAAGGTCACTATGTATCAGTCATACTTTTCAGAGATATATGTGCGGTTTACAAACTATTATTTATTGCTATAGGTAGTACAAACAGTTTACCTGCCAATTCTCATAACTGAGACCCCCCAAGGCTTAAACATTTGAGAAAATTGAAAATACAGGTGAAACATCTAGCTGCTAGTTAGATGCCTGCTTTTAATGTCTAACCTGGCCACTGCAATTTGATTGGCTTACCAGAATACGTAAAATGACCTCTACCTCAGTAGCCACTCAGTGTGCCTTGGGTATATCTATAGAGTTTAGCACAGGTGGACCCACCCCTAAGCCTAAAGGATATTGTTTGCTGTCCTGTGGCTAGGGCTGGTACTGGTTGTCCTACTTCTATCTCACCTCAGTTTCTTATGTTCCTAATGATTTGATCTTATTCATGATCATTAGCAAGATAAAAGATAAGAGTGAAGTGGCAGTTAAACAACGCGTATCACCTCCATGCCTTGTGAGAGTTGATGTTGTCTCGCAATGCTGGTCAATATACATAGCATATGTAGACTCTAATAGCTACTGAATTGGTGAGGGATAATGGCTAAGAGCACTGTTGGCATGAAATAATAGCGCCTAGTAATTATTCCTGTCTGTGTTGAGCAATATGGAGTGGTTGCTGAATCGGAGGTCCTGTGAGGTCTTCTAGCATTGTGAAGCTGTGCTGGACCTGTGCCCAGTGCAGCACATACTATATCTTGACAATAAAGCACGTGCTTTACTGCATGGAAATGCCTTCCAAGCTGAAACCACATGAAATTCCTATACGTGCACATGCTACAGCTTAGCTTAGACTTTAGTGGGAGGGGCCGGCAGACTCCTGTAAATGTCACATCTTTCTGCCTAAGATCTTTTTCAAAAGCAATATATGATAGAACACTCCCCCCAGATCCCTTTAGGTGTGCCTGCTTTTTCTCCCTGCTGGATGCTGCAGACTTTACCTTTGTTGATTGGTTGACTGTTTGCAGGCACATCTAAAGGGAAATCGGGGTTGTATTCTCTGACATCAGACTCTTCCAGAAACAAAATGATGGATGGCAGAAAAGGCTAATAGCTGTGAGAGGGGAGCCAACAACAGTATCAATCAGGGGGAGAAGTGATTGATGAATAATGAAGGATGTTCAAACAGAAAATGAAGGTGGTCTTAAGATAGTTGCTGCAGCTTCAAAGGGATATATTGCTGAGATGCAAGTTTATAGGAAATTGAGAGAGAGTTTACTTTTAACACAGGAGAGGAGTTGGTACAAATGTGGAGAAAAAAGCAAAGCTGGAGTTCAGCTTCATGCAAAGTTGGTTGTCCTGTTTGCATTTTTCTCTTGTAATCTCTAGTGGGTTTAATTTTTATTACTGTTTATCAGTGTAAAAACAGAAGAACTGCAAGATTACCGCTAATGGCTGGTAAATGTGCACAACATTAATGCTGGCAGTCTATTTGGGAACTAATTAATTTGTTGGCTAGTGTAAAAAGTTGTCATATAATGAAAAATAATTCCTTTTAGATGGCAAGAACAAGTAAAAATCTCTTTCCCACTGCTGCACATGCCTCAGTGCTCTTGTCGTTTACTCATTTGGAACACCAATAAAGATTTTAGAAATTAATTTTAGTCTGAATGCCAGAAATTGCTTTTAAAGCAACCAGTTATATGAAACATTCTGCTACACTAGACAGATGCATACTTTTCTTGTTCTTTCTTTACAATGTGCAGATTAAAACTATACAGATAACCACCTCCAAAAGGCCTTGCCCCACTGGTTCTTTCTTGTTCTGGAAAGTTATTTGCATACATCACCCAGGAAGCATCTCCCGGAATCTCCCCACGTGTACTTTGTACTGAAGTAAAAATAAAACTAAAAGGTTTTCAAGCAACAAGCAGCCTGTCATTTCAATAACATGTAGCAACCAACCAGTTCATACTTCTTTAAATGTTAAAGGTGAACTCTAATTTACTTTAGGGTTGCTCTTTCCCTTCCCTTTTTGAATAACAATAGAATGGTCTTCAAGTGATCCTTTCCTTTCTCAATGTTAACAAAAACTGCAACTAAACATGATCTATTTAGATTATAAACAACTCGCCATGGGATAATCACCGAACAAAACGTCTCCAGTCTGTCCCCAGAAATCCAGTTGTCCCACTACCATTAACCATAGACTGATCAAAGACACCTATGCCCTTCTTTGACAGTCTTTCTGCATGTCAATGGCCATAAAAGGGGGAAGGTAGCTGAAGATGGATATGAGGGCTTAGCTGTTGACGTTTGACAAAAAGTCACACTTTGCATATCATTAATATAGTCCGCTTGGGCTTCAGGTTTTGGACAAAGAATGAGTGTATTTTAACCAGGGAAGAAAGAAAGAAAGAAAGAAAGAAAGAAAGAAAGAAAGAAAGAAAGAAAGAAAGAAAGAAAGAAAGAAAGAAAGAAAGAAAGAGAAAAAGAAAGAAAGAAAGAAGAGGATATGCAAGAGTAACAACCCACAGAAACACTTTTTTTTTGTTATGGCTGCAATATTAAAAGCTGAAATATGACTGGTTAGCATGGGCAACTTTGCATCCTATCAGACATTATAGTTAATTGAAATCCCTCTGTTTATTATACTGAGTCTCTGGAAGCTGATGATGAAAGTGGGATACTTAGGTGGGATAGCAGGAGGAGCTCAGGGTGGTCATCTGTAAAGTGCTTCTGTTTACTAGCAGTCTAAAGAACAGACAGAAGGCAGGCAGTAACATGGAGACTTTAGTACTACAGGCTATCATTAATGTTGCCTATGTCCTTAAGCACTGTGAGTGGAGTGGATTACAAGAAAATTAATTTACAAGTATTTTGGCAGGTAAATAGTTCATAGATTTAGGTTTCTATTGTTTATTTAGCTGGTTTAGATTAAATTGATATTCTAATAGGGTTTGTAGAATGCTGTGCGGCACTGTACCATAATCTGACATTAGCCAATACTCATGTCAGGATGTTTACCAAGTACATGCATGAGTGACAATTCCGCACTTGAAGGTGTATGTGTTCCATGTCATAGTGTGCTGGTGACAATTCATTCAGTGTTGTATCCTGAATTTCATATCCTTCCTCCCAAGTGTATTTAGGTTACTTACGCCGGATGACAGCTGTAAGAAGCACGACTCCATGAGATTTCCTACAGTATGGAAGGTATTGCAAAGTCATAAGACAAAAGCTTGCCTGCCAGAATGTCTAAAGGTGGATATAATAATATATTTTCTAAGCTTAAAAGATGTACAGACTGCTCAATCTCTGCAGGCGTTCTGATTAAAACAATTCTACAGTGCTACTACACACCAGTGTAAGAATTGTTTATACAGTAGCTGATGCACATTCTGTATTTTCAGGGCATTTAGATTTGGTTTATCTGGTTGCTGCTCCAGTCTTTTTCAGGCAATTGTACTGTAGGATTCATGTCATGTCATCTGGTAACATTTTCTCTTCTCAGGTGATAAAAGAGCAGGTGCTGGTGGTAAGTCAGACACACTTACCTCAGCCTGTTGTGTTGACTAGATGTGCGTATTGTAAGGGCTTGTGTGGACTAGCTGTGTATTTAAACACAACATTCAAATGCTGTACTGCTAGAATGCATGTGTCTGTTGTGTCTGAGCTGCTTTAGCAGCCCTTTGTGGTCCTTTTGAAGCAGCAGTAAAGTATCCCCATAGGACAGGCTGCTTACACAAGAATGCAACTTAACACAAACACGCAGCTTCTTGCTGATGTAGGATTGATGAGCATCCAGCCTTTGAATGCTCATCAACACTACACAGTTAATTTCTGTGCAACAGACGTAGATTACATTTGATTTGAAGATAATTTCAAATGCAAGTGAAACACTGAAAAGCAAAGCCCATCTTCATGAGCCCTAAGGAGGTCTGGATAGTCAGTTGGCCTGGCCGTTGTCAGAGGGATGGCATGTCTGAGAGTAATGTTGGGTTGATTTGAGCTGTTTATGTTCAGTTAGGTTTGTTATATAAAAACTACAAATGCACTGTAGCCTCTGTTACTTAATGTGTTACTGCTAATAACTGCCGTAATTTTTCCACAGCGCTACTTCCACTGACTGACTTCCACTCTAGTGTTCCAGATAGGGATAAATCTGATTGTCGCCTTTTTAGAAACAACGGTACTGGTAGTATAACTTAGTACTGGTAGTTTTATACATGGTGTTCAGTATTATTGAGATGGCAGGAGTGTCAGTGCATAAATAGGGATGCTCCATCAAACATAGAAATATTTGGCCACAGATACACAACTGACGTGCTGTTACCTGTATGGTTTTTGTCTCCAATCCTTTCAGGGGCAGAGTAAGGTGGTGCAGCAGCACTATGCTCTGCCTTAGCAGTCCTACCTACCTAAGCCTGGATTCATGTCCATGCCCACAAATTCAGACCAACGCTTTCCAAACTTTTGATTAAAAAAAATGAATTATTTTTTAATCATAGCACAAACAAAGCATACAAATGATTGTCATAATCAATGGTGGTGTATCATCATCAACGTGTAGTAGCATAATTAGTTTATGATGATATCTGCTGTGTCTCTATTGTACTTTGAATGAGCTGAATAAATCAGGACTGACTATATAGTCTACTTCCAATCCATAGATTTGCCATAATACCCTGGTATCCATGCCAGATTTTACCTTGTGTCCAGCTTCCATGTCTGATTTTCCCCTCTGTCCCAGGTGCTTGGCTGTCAGCCTATGTCAGCCTATGGGGATTCACAGGACTACAGCCAATCTTCGTACTTCCTCCCCATTTAGGTTTATCTCACTTGTTGCTCTGGGTTCAAGCAGCGAGTCTGTTCTCTCCTGCTGGACACTCCGTGATTCCTAGTCTCTTTGTGTTTTCTTGGATCCCCGTGCTTCCTGGTTTCCTGTGGATTCCCTGCACGGCCTTTTCCATCCTTGCTGTTCTCTCTGTCCCCGCTTTCTCTTAGTCTCCTGTGAGTTCCTGTGGTTTCGTTTGCACTTACCTGTGAGGTGTGAGTGGCCGTGCTTGTCTGTCTGAGATCTGTTTTCCACTTGTATGTGCCCTTTCTATAGTGTGTCTGCTTACCTTCTCAGCGCTGATCTCTCTGTTTCTCCTATACCTTCGTCCTTGTTGTGCTATCCTGCACTTCTGTATATGCTTGTTCCCCTGTACTTACGTTCCTTGTAGGCCTGGTTCACACCTGTACGTTTTGTAGCGCGTTCAACGCTTTACGAACGCTCTACAAAACGCTCAAACGTGAAAATCCCATTGTTTTCTATGGGTATGGTTCACACCTTGCCGTATTTCAGCCCGTCTGAAAGCGCTACAAAACGGCCTACGCCTGAAAAGGTACATGAGCTTCTTTGCTGCGTTTTTGTGGAGCGCTTCCATTGGGATACAGCCAAGTAGCCCTCGGAAACGCGCGTTTGTCGCGCGTTTTTTTACCGTGAATCGCGGTAAAAACGCGCGCCACGAAACGCGCGATAAACGCGCATATTCGATACGCCTATGTGTGAACAGAGCCGTAATTGTATCCTGATTCTTGTGTATGCATGCCCCCTGTGCATAGTTGCCATTTTGCTATGCACACTGTGTGTACTTACTGTTTATCCTGTACCTTTTATGATGCATGTTCCCTGTCTGCACTCTCCAGTGCATCCTACCCAGTTCCTAGTGTCACGTATTCCTGGTGTGCCCTGCTGCACCCTTCCTGCACCTCTTGCTTATAGTCTTCTTTCCTACCCATCACTTAGTTCAGTTCTCCAGTGCTGTTCCCATTGTAGCGGGCCAGTCGTGTCTGCAGGCCGCAACCTGGGAGCTACCCTGCCGCACAATCAACCTCACCATCAGAGGCTCTGTAGAAGACCAGGCACTCCTTAGCTCCTGTGCCACTGGCACACCCACAGTTATTGTGCAGACACTCTTTTCCCAGTCCCCTGTGTTTGGATTACCCAGTACCCGTTCACTCCCCAAGACCTGGGTTGTAGCCCTGTTCCCTGCTCAGGACTGTTCTGCAATACCCAGAGCTCCCGTTCTCTAGTGTCCCGGATTCCAGATTGTGACAAGATATATAGATAATTGTAATTCAATCCCTAGACAGAAATGCATCCAAATAAAGCAGTGTTAAATGTTTTGTGAGAATTTCCTCCTTATAGGAATGTTCTCATAATAAAGTGGCTGGAGAAGGCTGGCTTGATGGTAATGATCAACAGGCAGAGGAATCTAGTAGATAGGGTGTGGAATTTATTCCATGATGTCCCTGTCACCTGAAGAAGAATCTTATCTTGCTACATTGTGCCACAATGGTCATGAGCCTATAGAGGCATATGTACCACTTAAATTATAATAAAAGACTTTTCAGATTCTTTTCTTTTTTTTAAATATTCTTTATTTATAAAAAGTTTACCAGAGTCCGTACAGCAATAAAACAACAAAGGAGCAAAAAGAGAACATGACATACAGAGTAATTTGGGAGGAAATAAAATAGGGGAAGGTAAGGTACAACATAGTTTCATGTGGACATTACGGTCAAAACAACAAAGGACATATGGATGCAATTCCATGAGGGATTCGGCAAATGTGATTAGGACTATACAACACTAGCATGATATTTTGCGTCACTTCCCAGAGTGGGGATACATAATATGTGGTAAATATGCATATTGGTAGACAAAATCAAAGAAAAATAAGGAAGAAAACAAGAATATCAGCACTAGATGGATAGGGAACCTTGAGATCTATACAAAAAGGAGAAATGGAGCGCCCGATCCTTGTGAAGTACTGTTTATTGACATAAATCTAAAAAGCAGTATTTTACTCACAAAGGTGAATCATAAAAGGCAGAAACATCCACCTGCCGCTCACTCAACACACTGTCAAGGCGCCTCGTAGCCAGCACTGTGTCTGAGCCACAGTGCCGGCTATGAGGCGGCTTGTCAGTGTGCTGAGTGAGTGGCGGGTTACTGTGTTTGGTTGGGTCTCTGAGCCCCTACGGCATACGTGTCAAACTCAAGGCCCGCGGGCCAGAACTGGCCCGCGACGGAATTATCTCTGGCCGCCTGATGATAATTAATTATCATTAGATCTGGCCCTGCCCGCCGACAGCTCTCTCACGCTGCCCACGGTGATCTTCATGGGACTGAGGAGCTGGAGAGCTGCCGCTGGCCAGAGGACTGCATTACCCAGCAGGCAGCAGCACAGCGTGACAAGGGAGGTGTGGCCGTGAGGTGACTGAGGGGGGTCCTGAGGTCCAGTCCAGATGACGTGAGGTGCTCCTTGGCGGGAATCAGGATCCAACCCAGATGACACAGAGCCGGGAGAGCTGCAGCCTGCAGGTACTGTACTGTGACACTGTCAGTCAGTATATCACTCCCCTTCTTCTCCATCACTTCTTTTGTACTGTAGAAGTCATGGAGAAGAGGAGGAGTGATATACTGATAGTAGTATCTGTGACACCTGTGTACCGCCTGCCTCCACACTAGTATGTAATCTAATAGTTTGAATGGCACCAGATGGAAAAACTTTTTCGTAAGTAAATTCCTTTGTTGTAAATGCTCTGTACTATTTAATGTCTTTTTGGCTTTTATTATTTAAATATTTAGGCTATTTCTTAAAGGTAAAGTAAATAAAAAAGTAAAAAAAAAATGTTTTATTGTAATTATGTATCATGCTTTTTAATAATAAAAAGTACAGGCTTTGTTATTATACAGTGTAATATACTGTATATGCCGATGTATTATACTGTGTGATATACTGTATAGACCACGGTATTATACTATGTGAACCAGCCCGGGCCCCCGACTTGGAGCATTTTTAAAATTTTGGCCAAAACGTTGTTTCTGCCTTTCATGATTCACCTTTGTGAGTACAATACTGCTTTTTGGATTTATATCAATAAACGGTCCTTCGCAAAGCTCTATGTTCCTACTTCTTGTATAAAATTAGAGTCCGTTACATTAGACCACAAACTAAAGGTGGTCTCATTTGTGTGTTTTACATCTACTCAGCTCACAATCGTAGACCTGTCATCTTTTTTTTTTTCGTTTCCAAAGATTTTTATTTCTCACAAGCATTTAGTGCATGCACTCAAACATAGTGTGCATGCATGGATAATGGTTCATACATAGATAATGATCATAACAGGGAAAATGCTCGTCAAACATGGTAATCTATTGCGATCACCTGAACTATATGGAGAAAAGGTGAGAATCTGTCCTATCAGTGATCCCAACAGGGGTACGGGAAATAAGACATTTAATAGCAGGGAAGGGGAGAAAAAAAAGGGAAAACGGGGGGCGGG